GTTCAGGGCCTGCTCCGCGCGGACCCGGGACCTCCGAGAGACCCGGGGCTGCCCCGCCCGGACTCCCGCGCTGCGCGACGCGCGAGGCGGCGGCTGACGCGCTCCCCGGGATATTGACTCATCGATCTCTGAGCAGCACGGACGTGACCGGTGTGTCCAGGAGCCGAGGGGGAGGAACCCAAGGCCGGAGCCGGGAACCCTGGGGAGGAGGCGCGGCGGCTGCAGACAGAACTTGGCTCTGGGACACAGCTGGCTGGAGCTCTCGCCCAGCTGCTGCTCCCTGGGGCCTTAGGCTCGTCCCTGCACCGCTCAGAGCTGTTTCCTGGCCTGTAAAATCGGGAGACCCCAGGAGCTACTTTCTGGGTGGTTACAGAGGGCGAGTTGCTCATCCCGGGGAGACCAGGGGCATCAAATCCATCTCTGCCCTTGGGGAGCCCCTGGGGCAGGGGAGTGATGGCAGGGGTTGACTGGGCCTTGTGGAAGGTGCTGTGACAGCTGGGAGCCCTGAGGAAGCAGGGACTCTACTGGGGAAGAGGGAGTGTGAGCTCAGGACAGGGGGCGGGCGAACAGGTCATGGGAGCGGCCTTGCTGGTTTCCAGGCTGTGTCCTGGGCTCTCTGAGTGCAGCATCCGCTTCAGGAGGTGAGGGTGACAGCAGTGGGGGCATTGGGGGAATTCACAGAGCAAAAGAGTACCCCACTGTCCTGGGTGGGCAGCCACTCCCCCAAACACTTAACACATCTTCACACACACCCACTGCCAGAGGTCTAATCAATGCCCCTGGTACAGAAGCAAAGATGATCCTGAGATTAGGTTCCCAGATATACCAAGCTCTGGCCCCACCTCCTCAGGTCAAGGTCCCCTGGTAATACAGGCATCCTTCCTGCCTAGGACCCATGACCTCACCTTGTGGCACGGAATGCCTGCTGCCTCCACCTCCTGCACCCTGCCAACTTCAACAAACCTGTGTTTGCCACAGAAGCCATGGGGGGGGGGGGCTGAGTTACAATCCCCTTAACCAACCATCCTACCACCAACCTGATGGCCTCCCTAGAGGCCTCCGCAGGAACCCTGCTGCCAGCCCTAGAGGGATTTGCACTGCAGGGAGGGGATGCAGTGTGAAACCCTCTTGAATCAGAGGGAACACTAGACAACCTGAGGGTACTGCTTTCTGGAGGAGTCAGGGTCAGTCGTTTCTGGGATAGGTCTTGAAGGAGAAATAGAAGTTACCAGGGCAGAAAAGGAGATGTGTTCCAGGCAGAAGGAACAGCAAGTGCAAAGACTTGGTAGTGTGAAAGTAAGATATGTCTGGGGAGGAGTGAGAAGTTTGGTGCGCCTGGAGCAAGACAGTTGGAGGGGAGGGGTGGTCTGGGATAAGGAAACAGGTGTGTGAAGGCTAAAGTGACACCAACAGCAGGCCAAGGAATTTAGATTTGGGTTTGTTGTAGCAAGTTGAAGTAAGGACAGACAGGGAGGGACAGATAGGAACAGACATAGTTGGAAGGAGTGAAGCTGACCGTAGGTAAGATAAAAGAGTCAGTGCCAGACCAGTGATAAAAAGACCATTCACTCCTCTGGGCCTCACGTCTGGGAGATAATAGGGATTGGTGGGGACTATGGCGTACATATAAGCCCCAGGGATCCCTTCTGAAGGCCAAGTAATTTCTCAGCCCTAGCCAGTTGCTACCATGCAGGAATGTGAGCTTAGTGTTGTCAGATATTTGGGGAAAAAAAAAAAAAGTTAGAAATGTAGATTTTTATTGTGTTGCCTCCTGGTTTTAAATGCTGAAAGCTATTTTTTAAAACTTTAAACAGTGAGTGTGTCCAAAGCACACATAACAGGAACATATCTGGGGATGCAAACAGCAACTGCTGCTCAGTTGCTAGAAAGCTATTGAAAATTCTGTAAGGAGGGAGATGATCTGAAACACAAGTCTGAGTTTTAGGCTGCCCACTCAGGAATAGTAGGGAGGGATGGCCTGGTCAATGGGAACAGCTGCCAGCATCCAGGCCAGAGGGGCTGAGGCCTGAACCAAGGTAGCTGACCCAGAAAGGAAGGAAGGCTCCCAGGCACAAGAGTAGGGGTCTTCAGGGATTAACCTTCCCTGGGGAGTTAAAAGTTTGTCCCCTGTCCTTTTGTCCCCTTTAAGGGATTGCAAACACATCACTGAGTGGGTGGGGAGGCCTGGTGGAGTGGAATGCCCCTGAAAATCCCTAAGGTTGCACTCTGGCAGGCCACCCCTAGGAACTGGGTAAGACATTCCAAACAGCCCAAAGAGGGAGGGACCCCTGGGGGAGGGGCTCAGGAATCTGCCTGGCCTTCAGGAAGACCCCGGCCAGCCCTAATGGGAACCACACGTGGGGTGAGCTGGAATCCTGGAGTGCCTGTGATGGTGGTTTTGGAATCGGACACTTGGCTCCGGTCACTCCTGACCCCTTGAAGCCCGAGGCCTCCCTGCTCCCCTGCTAATCGCTGCCAGACACATTCTGCCCAGGACCGAGCTCTGGGGCCCTCCAGAGTCCTGGAGAGGGGGTGCTTCTTGTGGGGCTCCCCACTTCCTGCTAGGAAAGCAGCTAAGCCCTGGGGGAACAGGGGTTCTCAGGCAAGAATTCTAGGCTTCCTGCTGGACCAAGGGTTGATGCTCTCAGAATAGCAGAATAAGAACTCCTTTCCAGTACTCCCCTAAACAGTTTCCCCTGAATTTCACACCCCACCTAGAGCCCTGAGCTGCTTGCTGCTGGCCTTGTAGAACCTGGTGTCCTCGGCCTCCACCCCTCCCCTGCAGCATCTGTAGGTTACTTTGTGGATCTGGAAGTCTTGGCCTCCCCCATGCCTCACAGGGTTCATTTCCTGCAGGACCTCAGGCTCCAGAGCAGAGAACAGTCCAAAGGGCAGGGGAAGAACCCTGTGTGCAGGTGACTTGCTTCTGAGGATTTGCTGTAAAAACGGGAGGGGAACAGGTCTCTCCTAGTAATTTCCTGGTGCTTTCTCTTCCCCCTAACTCAAACACCTCCTAGCCCAGCGACAAGCTGTGTCATAAGATGTCTCTCTACAACATTGAGGGCCTAGAAAAACTTCCAGTCCTTATTTGAGGTGCTCACTCCAGCCTTTGAGTCATGCCTGTCATCACACCCACTAAACCCTCTTCATAACCCTCCAACTATGGTGTGTGGGGGTGGTGGTGTGCATTTCCTGTTTAAGTCCTGGCCACTCCCAATGGCCCCCTCTAGGCCCCCAGGTTTAGCTCCCTCCCCCTGGGTACCCTCCTTGAGAACTTCCAGGCAGCCTGCTCAGCATCAGGCCAGGGGCCCAGGAGCATGGACAGGCTACATTCCTGGGGGAAGGGGAGAGGAGAGGAGGACTGCACAGAGCCCCCTCCTCTCTTCTAACACAGACCCCAAGCTGCCCAGCCTGAAGCTCTCTCAAGCCATGCTAAGATGGTCGGTGTAGTGCCAAAAAAGCCCCTGCCAGAGGCAGCAGGGCCAGGGACATAGGGGCCTCCCCGGCCTCTGCTGAAGATGAACCATCTGTGCCCTGGAGCTGTTCCACTCCTGGTGGGACCTAAGTTTCCAGCATTGGTAAGGGCCCACAGTGAGGGGTGAGTGGGGTGAGGTGACCAGGCATGGAGGGGATACAGGACAGAGGACTAGGGCAGTCCCTTGGCATATTTTAACACCCACACCTTCTTCAGGGTAGCCCAATCTCCCAGAAGTCTCTAGAGAGGGCTTGGGGACTTCCAGAGAGAAATCAGGCCTAGCAGAACGGAAGGCAGGCAGCAGTAGCTGGAGATGGGAGAGGGGGTTGGAGAGACCTTGCCTGAAGCTGGGGATTCTGAGGAATGGGTTGTTCCTCCAACCCAATCTATCCCCATCCCCCAGCC